GTTGTCAACGTTTACAATGCTTGCTTTATATACACTCTACTTAGGTCACACATCTTACACACACTCAGCATTAACTGTTGTGATAACAACTCTACAACAGCTGAAACCGTTTCTCAACTGCTTAATAACAATCAGCCAACCTTGGTGCACAACACGCTTATATCCAACATTCCCCCTATTTTTTCTTTTGTTTTTCAAACGAACAGACCATAACTTGATCACGAAAGTACTCAAAAGCACCTCGGGCTAGAGGTTTGGTAAACCCATCAGCAACCTGATGAGAGGCTGGCACGTAACGAACTTGCATTTGTTTGGCAACCACCTTTTCACGTACAAAGTGTACATCGAGATTGACATGCTTTGATTGCGCATGATAAACCGAGTTAGCACTCATCGCTATGGCACCCGAGTTATCACACCAGATCGTTGGTGTCGTACCCGAGCCTTCACCTAAATCAGCAAGCACAACATTCACCCAGGTGACTTCTGCAGCCGCATCAGCAATGCTTTTATACTCTGCCTCCATGGTTGAGCGAGACATTGACTGTCTGTCATCCACATTGCCTCCCCAATCCGCATCTGCAAATGCCGTGATGGAAGAGTCAGACCCAGCAGGAGAAAACACTAAACTGTATTCCACTGTGCCCGCCAAGTATCGTAGAATCCTTTTAACTGCCATAAAATGTGACTCACGAGGGGCTTGCATATATTGCGCAACCTTGCTCACACTTAGAGCAACATCAGGGCGAGTATGGCATACGTATAGTAGGGAGCCAACTATACTTCGAAATTCATAAGCATCAGCCAGCGGATTGCCTTCATCCTTAGACAGTTTGTTGGCGACAACCATAGGCGAGGTGGTGGGGTTGGCTCGAGTCAGCTGTGCTCTCGCCAATAACTCGAGCACAAACTTCCTTTGACTTAAAACAATAGAGTCACCACACCGTTGAACCTCAATACCCAGAAAGTAAGAAAGGTCACCAAGGTCTTTGAGTGAGAATTGTTTGTTGAGTTCGCATATGACACGTTGAATGTAACTAACCGATTCACCAGTTAGTATAATATCGTCAACGTAAACGAGGATGAACGTACGAGAGCCTGCTTGATTGTTGACAAACAAGGAATTGTCAGCTTTGGACTCTCGGAATCCAAGTGCAATTAAGCTGGCGCGAAGCTTGTCGTTCCAGTTGCGTGGTGCTTGTCGTAAACCATAAAGTGCCTTCTGTAACTTGCACACAAGAGGCTTGCCATCAGGATTACACACCTCAAAGCCAGGCAGTTGCTTCATAAACACCTCTTCAGCCAGTCCACCGTTGAGGAATGCGTTGTTGACATCAATTTACCGAAACGGCCATTTCCTTGATACTGCCAAGGACAAGATGATATTGATTGTGGAGAAGCGAACAACAGGGCTGAAGGTTTCCTGAAAGTCTTGCCCTAGAACCTGGGAGTACCCCTTAGCAACCAGGTGTGCCTTGTGTCTCTGCACAGTACCATCAGCGTTCCTCTTGATTTTAAACAGCCACTTGCAACCAACAGCAGACCTCCCTTATGGGAGTTGAACCAGATTCCAGGTCCCATTTTGTTGCAGTGCATTGAGTTCATTATGGATAGCCGCAGTCCATTTTTCGGATTGAAATGCTTCGTGCACAGTTGTGGGAATTACTTCATCATAGCTGCTGATGAAGGTTTTAGGTTTGAAGACACCAGCCTTACTGCGTGTACACATCGGATGAGCATTAATTGTTGTGTTCGATCGCAACAGCATGGTTGGCTCAGCTGCCGTGTGTTCAGGCACCTGAAATTCATGGCTCGCTCCCTCATTAGAGATAGAACCTGTGGGAGTGGGCACAGATACTTGGGATGGTAAAGTGAACTGATCCTCGGTAGGCAGCACATTCGAAACAACATGCACAGAGGAGTTCTGAGAGTGAGTAGAGACTGATGTACCCATGGGGGAGCATGCACACACGCATAATCTCTAGGTATATGCATACGTAAATGTTGTGGCTGCACCACTATATCCAATGGGGGCGACTGCTTTCGAGCTGGACCACGCGTGCATTGTAAGGATGCATAGGGAAACACTGACTCATCAAATTTTACATGACGAGATATATAGACTCGTCCATCTGCTGCAAGACATTGGTATCCCTTGTGCTGCGGGCTATACCCTAGGAAGACACACTCCTGGGATCGAAACATGAGTTTTTGCGATTGAAATGCACGCAAGTGGGGATAGCACCTGCATCCAAATACTTTCATGAAATTGTAGTCAGGCTGCCTATGAAATAGTTTTTCAAAAGGTGCAACACCTTGTAACACACGCGTAGGAAGACGATTAATAAGATAAACAGCTGTGACAACAGCATATGACCAGAATTTCAAGGGCAAAGTGGCTTGAGCTAAAAGCACAAGTGCCAGCTCGATCAGGTGTCGATGTTTTCGCTCTACAACGCCGTTCTGCTCAGAGGTATGGGGATAAGTCACACGATGAATGATTCCTTCTTTAGCCAGCAGACTGTTAAGTGGTCTATACTCACTACCCCAGTCGCTTTGAATGGCTTTAATAGGCAGATTGAACTGTGTGGCAACCATGTTTTTAAACATCTGAAATGCAGTCAGGAGCTGTGACTTGTCTTTGAGTAGATACAACCAAGAGTGTCGAGTGCAAGCATCTACAAATGCAACATAGTACCTGAACCCATTCGAGGTTATAGGTGCAGGACCCCATAGATCAGAAAAAACAAGTTGAAACGATTCAGAATACTCAGTCTTCGAGTGTTCAAAAGGTAGTTTGTGACTTTTCCCAATACAACAAGCCGAGCAAGTTTTATTGGCATTATTTGAGATGTTTACATGCAATTGATTACAAACAGATTTCAAGGTCTGAAAAGAGGGGTGCCCTAGGCGTCTGTGCCATAGGTCATATGCTTCTGAAGTCGCAACAACATTAGCACTGGCCTGACCTGCAAACTGGCTCCTATCACTAGCCATCTCAAACGAATAAAGACCACCATTTTGCTTCCCTCGAAGAAGGACACTGCCAGTAACTTCATCTCGAACACAACAATCATTGGCATGAAATTCAAAGAAGATACGGTTGTCTCTAGCAAGCTTGGACACCGAAAACAGGTTTTTAGTTATCTTAGGCACATGTAGAATGTTAGATAGCAATAGTGTTTGAGATTGAGAGGATATTAAAGTATTACCAATAGACTCTACAGGAATGGATGCACCATTGCCAACAAAAATATTACCTGATCCCCTATAATCAGAGGGTTGTGCAATATTGGTAGCATCTGGTGTTATATGGTGCGTGGCACCAGAATCCACTACCCAGTGGTTGCGTGAAGAAGAGATAACATTGGCTTGAGGGAGTTCAGCAGTTCTTCCTTCATCATAGTCATCATATTGTGTGTTTTCCACAAAGTTGATGTCACCAGAACTGGTTTTACGCCGATGTGTGTCACTGCCATCACCAAGAAAGTCTCGATCGAACCGGTACCAACACTGGTGAACCAAGTGACCAACCTTACCACATAGCTGACACTGTACGCGAGGGCGACCTCGACCACGACCTCCTGAGCGACCACCAGCATATGATTTCCGATTTCAATCTTGATTGAATCTCGAGTCAGAGGCAGCACGATTCACAGCCTGAGCTACATTGGCACTCATTGGAAGACTATCTGCTGAAAACTCAAAGCCAACAAGTTGAGTTTCAGCATCAATCAACATGCTGCTCACAAAGTCTAACGTGGGCTTCTCGCGCATGGTGGTTATGACCGCCATGAAGGACTGATATTCACAGGCAGCCCTTTGAGAATACTTACGATCTGCTCGACTGGGGAAACAGGGCTCCCACACGATTCAAGCGCATCACATACTTCTTTGACACGGGTAAAGTAGTTACGCATGCTATCATCTCCTTTCTTGAGGGATTGCAATTTATACAGCAAGTTCATTACTGTTGTGGTAGAGCGGTTAGCAAAGAACTGAGTCACCTTATTCCATACAGTAGCTGCTGTCTCGGCACCAACGAATTGCGGTAGTAGCTGTGGACTGATGGTGGAGAGTAGCCAAGACGCAAGAGCACTATCTTGAGCCATGAAGTCCTCAAAGGCTTCATTTGCAACAACCTCGCCATTCTGATCAACAACCATTTCTGGTGGTGCTGGCATCGAACCAGTCAGCAATCTTTCCAAGCGATGACTGCGAATTGTGAGTAACACTTGTTGTTTCCACAGCAAGAAGTTCATTTCATCCAACACAACATTCACTCTCTTGTTAGTGAACATAACAGAGCGCATCAGCGAGCCTCCTCTAGTGGTGGAGGAGATATTCGGGCTGTCAAGGGCCATCACCGTAGCCGGAGTTTAGAAGCCAGGATCTTCAGCGAAAGATACCATGTAGAAATGCTGCAAGAAACTGAAAATTGCAGAATGTTTATTGAATAGTTTTCTGGAGTTGCCAACGTTTACAATGCTTGCTTTATATACACTCTACTTAGGTCACACAACTTACACACACTCAGCATTAACTGCTGTAACCACTTAACCGTTGTGATAACAACTCTACAACAGCTGAAACCGTTTCTCAACTGCTTAATAACAATCAGCCAACCTTGGTGCACAGCACGCCTATATCCAACATGCCTCGAGGATTTTTCTCTCATCAAAAGATCAAATTAATATATAATTAATATTTTTTGTATTTTCTATTGATAATATATTTTCTTTCTTAAAATTTTATAAGTTCGCCTCCTAACATAAAATCATGCATCTGTAGTTGTACTATGCCTTTAATCCATAGCTTAGCAATTCCCAAATATAGAAGAAATGAGGCATGTATCTCAAGCCTAGGCAATATATGATATTCGTGCCTAAAACATTATATAAGCAAATCATAGATTCATTCAGTGACCTAATAATGTATATAGCTAGAATCATTCAGCAAACTCATCCACAAGCATCAATAATCCATAATTATAGCTACAATGCTAACATCTTTATCTCTCTCTATTTTCCAAACAAGATCACATAAGTCCCAAGAAGATCTAAAGCCATGCCTAACTACATACCAAGAAACATAAACTACTAGAATAAAGCACTGACTGCATATGATGAGAGCAATTCTTTGATACCTGCAATACTTGCTTAGTCGAAGAGGCTGAAGCCCATATCCTGCATCAAAAGGATGAGACCGTGTTAGCAAAACAACACACCACAACAAAGGGAATCGATACAAGTCGAATTGAGTGATTCGAATGAATACATCATCGGACTCTTCCTTCTCCTCGACTTTCTCCTCTTTCTTGGCCTCAGCAGCAGGTTCAGCACCGGCTCCACTGCCGCCGGGTGTAGGAGCGGCAACGGCAACGCCACCGCCACCAGAAGGAACTGAAGCCAGCTTCTCCCTTCCAGTAGCAATCAGCTCGGTAATATCTTTGCCTTTGACTTCAGACAGAAGCATCTCTATCTTGTCATCGTCAGCCTCAGCTCCAACTGCAACAAATTAAAATAAAAATACAAATAATTCTCGTAAGGTTGAAAAAAGAATCCTCGAAGAATCTATTCAACGTCCCAGAATGAGCTTATATGTATTCCTTGCAATTAAATTGCCAAAAAATGGAGAGCAACAAGGTTTTGATAAGCAGATTCCCATGAAATCGGATCAAATCGAATAAAAAGTAACGAATAAACAATCATGGGTAAATTAACCCTAAAGCATACAAGTGAAACACCATCGAATCAAAGAGAGGGAGGAATGACCTGATCCGAGAATAGCCTTCAAATCCTCAGCTGAAGGGGATGTGTTCCTTCCCAAAACGGCAAGCAAGAAAGCGGCTACGACCTTCATTTTCACTACACGAGCAAGAGCAGAAAGTGGAACTGGACGGGGAATCAAAATTTCTAGGGTTTTTGATGGTTGCTTTCAATCGTGACCCTTCATGTTCTCATTATAGACGAAAAAAAGAAAAGAGGTCCTAAAAGAGTTAATGGGCTTGGGTCATTTAGTTTAATTATACTAGTAAAACTCAAATGACTAAAACTTCAAACCCATTCCATGAAAATCATAAGGGTAAACTACATATTTAGTCACCTAATTACTTCTGCAGTTTCATTTTGATCACTCAGTGTTTTTTAAAATCATCAATAAACTTACTTTTCTAATTCGTTTTGGTCATCTATCTTTAAAAAAAATAAAAATAAACAAAACTACTAATATGATAATTTATTTTCAATGACAACGTAAAATCAACTTATAGTGACATGCTAATACCGCCGTTGATTTTTTGATGACGAGTGACCAAAACAGAATAAAAACGTAAATTTAGTGCTGATTAAAAAAATAATTGGATGACCAAAACATAACCCTAATAATATTTGAGTGACTAAATACATAATTTATCCTTAAAAAGAACATTTCATTAAATATAATGAACTCTAACATGTATTGATATCACATAGAGATGAAGTTATGGTTCTCACCATATTTTCATGCCTTATAAAGTGCTTCAAACATATTTGAATTGATCTTTCAGGGTGGAGCATAAAGGATCTAAAAAATTCCAACCTCATATCACCTAGAATTGTCGTATTAAACCAGTTAAAATCTAAAATTTTATGTGAAACCCATGATGGACCCCTACAAAAAATCTAAAATTTTATGTGAAACCCATGATGGATCCCTACATAATTCCGAATCGTGTCGTGATAGTACAATCGTAGGTCGTATCGTGTTGTGATAGTACAATTGTAGGTCGTATCATGTCGTGATAGTACAATTGTAGGTCGTATCGTGTAGTGATAGTACATGTGCAACCACCATTGTTACCAGAAGAACCATCTTTTCCCAGAGCCACCTTTGTTGGGTTCATCCTGTTTTCTCTTCTCCATTCCCAGTTTCAAGGATTCCAGCCTTTTCCTGCGCCAGCTAGATGTAAGATTTACAGGAGGGAATGTGAAGACAAATGCGAAAAACCGGAAGAATCTCTTAGACTTTTAAGGGTAGACAGAACTCATCTTTTACATATTAAAAGATCAACGAAAATTTTGTATAAAAGAAGGCTCAGGGAAACAAAAATATAAAGATTTGATTCACGGGACTTTACTGATAAACATACAATGTCTGGAAAAGATAGGAGTTCTCATGGATCAGAAAACATTACTTGGTATCTGTTAGTCGACCATGCAGACTCCATCTTTGACGAAATCCATCAGTGCCTTCCATTCCACTTGCCAGAATCAAGCGCCTACAGACGTGATTCAGTTCAATTAATGAACTAATAATTCTGTATCAAGCTGCTAAGGTTTGAGTAAAGGAAGCTAATAGGAAAAGGTCAATTAACTAGAGACAGATCTTGTTTTATTCCGACACTTCATTTTTCTTTATGTACACATTTTCAACACTCGAGTGAGACGTATATCCAGATATCTATAGGAGGAATTGGCCCTCTAAGATGTAGAAAATCATACAAAAAGAAGTAAACATGCCCAAGTCAGACACATTCATATCCAACATCTACACCCGACACCAAGTAACGTAGGACAAAACGGTTTATCTATAAGAACATGTTACTATCCAAGATGCTGCAAAAGCAAAGTCTGAAAGTTAAAACATTGAAAGTAATTCATGGAGCTCATACTAAGAGATCAGAAAGGCTAATAATTGCAATTTCCATGAAATTTTCGTCAATATTGAGAAAGCAATTTAGCTTTGCAATCAAGTGCTAAAGAACCTCGTCTCGGTTCTACCGTGCAACATGTGCAGAAAGGGAAATACTTTACGACTATAAAGATTCAAGGATTCTAGCAAATATTCATAATAATATCCTAACAACACACCTCTCCAATGATGTGACTTCTGATTCAAGCTGACTGGCTCTCTCCTTTGCTTGGTCTAAAGGCATCGACAACCCCAATTTTCTTTCACTATCCTGAAGCCGTTGTCTTAGTTCCTTGTCCTGAAACCCATATTTCCAAACAAACTCAAGAAAGCCGATTCAGTGTACTGATCCGAAATAACCATTAAAATCTTACCCTATTTTCAGCACATTGTCGATATAATGCAAGCTCATCTTGACAGAATGGCTCGATATCATTAATCTGAAGACCTACAACATACAGCAACCATGGATGAATGTATGACTATGCATGAAATAAATGAGAAAGTATCAGGTCTATCATTTGGCACAATTAAGAAAGTAATCAATCATGTGAACAAAAGGAATGCAGATAGAACAACAGTTAATCAATACTACATAGTTCACCTTCTACATTATGATTGTTAAGTGAAAAACATAAGACTTACACAAAAATAAGTTCCTTAAGATCCCATCACATAACTCAATGCCTTCAAGAACGTGAGCTGCGATTTCTTGTGGGATGACCGGAGATGGCGGACCCATCATTAGATCATCGCCGACTAATATCGTTTCCTCCATTGTCGGTTGCGAATCAACTGAAACGGCGCCGCGCAGGTAACATAGAAAATCAGTTAGGAAATTGGCCTCATTCATGATTTGAAACATAAACTAGTATGGACATATAGCAAAATTCATATATCATTCCACACAAGGATGGACCGAGGGATGCTAGGGTGAGGTCGCATCCGAAATTTTAAATCCCCCTATAGTTTAGATTTTTTTAATGTTTTCTATTTATAATATAATTTCAAAGTCATAAATTTTTAATATAAATTCCTAAATTCGAATCACATAACACAAAATCTTATGTTCATCCATCATTCACTATGTTCATTCATACTTCAGCATATAACAAAAATGAAAAATATTTCACACTTTTAAGTAAAATCACAAGAAAAATCCACTGCCTTTTAACCATATAAACCATAAATCAAACAAATTATCTACTTGCAAATGCCGTAACATCTAAAATAAGATACCAAAAGCTTCGCATACCATCCATGGCCTCTTTCTAGTTAGATTTGCACTCAGGAAGATGAACTTGGTATTCAATTATTGTTCAGGATGGGTTCAAACCTGTGAAATGAAGAAGAGAATAGAATCAACCAAGTTTCTAAATCATTTTTCGAAATATTTGAAACAACAAAGCATGGGACCAGATAGATGAAAAGATAGCTGTTTCAATTGGGGCATTCAACAAAAATGTGAAGAAAAAAGTATACACAAGAGAAGAATAGAGCTGTGAAGCAGCAGAGAGACATGGGTTTTTCTTGATTTCCAGAGAAAAGTGGCTTGCTTGAGAGAGAGACAAAAATGGTGGGGAGAAGTTATCTAAGAGTGTACTGAGGGCCCAAACATACATATGAGACGACATGGCCCGATGTACCTAAGAATTTAAAGGTTAAATTATTAAAATAATACATTTTTAATTTATTTTTTACCAAAATAGTATTAAAAATCATTAATTATTAAAATGACACTCATTTTTATAGATAATATGAAATTGTCTGCCTAACAACATTTTTTTGGAAAGTTCTTAGGAAAAATTATTTGATGAACTCGTATTCATCACGTCATTCGTAGTCTCAACCAATAACATTTGTTCTTCTTATTTTTTTGAGGTGAATTTTCACATCTTTCGTACATGTAAATAAAAAATAGGTAGTTATTTATTTTAAAATTGACGGACCTCATTCATTGAGACTATAGATGACGTGGTGAACTAAGTTCATCTAATAATTTCTCTAAAAAATATTTTTTATTTACGTAACATGACGTTTGTCTTCAATGATGACATTATCTAAACTTAAACTTAAAATTAAAATTAAAAATATTAAAATAAAAATTTTATAAATTTTATTTAAAAAGAGTGTTTTCTATGAAAAGAAAAATATTGAGCTTTAGAGTATTTAATTTGATTTTTAAATTTTATATTAAATATGAATTTAATATTTTTATAATAATTTAAAAATAAAAGGTCATAAAAAGTTTATTTAAAATTATCAAATTTTTAAATTTTTAAATTTTTAAAAAATGCTTATAATGTTGGAAATTATAAAATTTTATATATTTGAGTGTTCTTTTAATAAAATTCATATAATTTTTGGTTTAATACTTTTACTTTTTTAAATTTAGACGACTTTAACATTGGAGAAATAATTTATGTGACTACATTTTCTTGAATAAAAAGACTTTCAAAAGATGTTGTCATATAAACGAACCTTTGTCATTGGTAGTTCTGTTGTATGTCAGTTTTAATATACAATTAAGGAAAGGTCATACCGGAAATATTAATATTTTTTAATATTTTCGGTAAAGTACTACATAAAATATTATTTTTTTACCGAAAATGTTACTTTCGTTATCTAATTTCCGATAGAAAAAAATAACATTTTAGATAGTGTCTGATATTAAAATTTTTGGTAGAAAAAATAATATTTTATGTAGCGTTTTACCGAAAATGTTAAAAAATATTAATATTTTCGATAGCGTTTTTTCTTAGCTGTATATTAAAACTGTCGTATCTTAGACATCCCTTTTATCCTATATAACATAAATATGTGTTATTTTGAGAAGCATATATTTCAAAAAAGTATATTATTTTAATCATTTAATTGAATTTAAATTATCGTGACTATTTATGAAACATTCACGTCATATGAATGTAAGAAAAACGTGTAAAGTTTTAGATTGTAAATCAGAAATACACAAGATTTTGAGAGAATAACTTCATATTCGATTTAAGATCAGGCTTGACCATTTATAAACCTTTACAAAACAACTGAAAGATAAATGCAACCACGTTTTCAGGTCCTACAAACGTGGTAAGTGGTTGGAAGACTAAATCAAATCAAACTAATGACCCTATCAAATAGGGATTATTAACAAACCAGTAAAACAACTAAAAGCCTAACTTCAACACTCTCCCTTAAACTGATTGCATTTTGCATTCAATTTACAGCAGGAACACTAGAGACTCCAAGCAAATTTCGCAGCTTTAAGAAGACATCGAGCTTGAGAGGTTTGGTCATGATATCTGCCACTTGCTCTTGTGAACTTCAGTATACCAGCTTCACCATTCCATCCTTTGAGAGATCACGAAGGAAGTGAAATCGAGCATCAATGTGTTTACTCCTCCCATGCATCACTGGATTTTTAGAGAGATTAATCGTCGAGCTATTGTCACAGAATAATTTTGTGCACTTGTTTTGAACCTGCCCCAATTTTTCTAGTACTCTTTTCATCCAAATACTTTGACATGCACAACTAGCTGCTGCTATAAACTCAACTTCAGTCATCGAAAGGGTGACAACTGGTTGCTTCTTTGAGGACCACGCCACATCACCAGAGCTAAGCTTAAAGACATACCCTGATGTACTTTTCCTGTCGTCAGTATCCCCTGCATAATCACTATCCGTGTAGGCCATTAGCTCCTTGTTCCTTGTTCCTTGTTTCTTGTACAGAATTCCAAGATCCACGGTCCCTCTCATGTATCGAAGTATCCTTTTTGTTGTTTGCTAATGTATTTCAGTGGGACTCTCCATGTACCTGCTAATTAAACTCACTGAATACATGAGATCATGTCTGGTTGAAGTCAAGTACATCAGGCTGCCAACAACTTGTTTGAACACAGTGGCATCAACTTTTACTCCTCCTTCATCTCATGTCAACTTAGAACCAGGGACTATATGATTTTTTTACAGGAATACTCTTATCCATCCCAAACTTTTCTAGCACTTCTCGAGCATATTTCTTCGGACTTAGATACACACCATCATCATTCTGTTGTACTTCCATTCCTAGAAAATATCTCATCTTCCCCAAATCAGACATATCAAACTCGTGCATCATAGAAGTTTTGAAATCATCGAACATGCTCTTATCGTTGCCCGTATAAATTAGATCATCAATATACATGCTGACAATTAAAAATCTACCTTCCTCCTTTGATTTAACGAACAAGGTGTGTTCATATTCACACTTTCAAAACCTTCTCTGACAAAATATGCTTCAATCTTGCTATACCAAGCTCGGGGGGCTTGCTTTAGCCCGTACAGTGCCTTTTTAGCTTATACACCTTGTGCTATTGTCCCTTCTTTTCATATCCTTGAGGCTGCTCAACAAACACATCCTCACTCAGTTCACCGTGCAAGAAAGAGCTCTTCACATCTAGCTGAAATATGCTCCATCCATTTTGGGCAGCTAGAGCAACAACCATGTGAACTGTGTCTAATCTAGCAATTGGAGCAAAAACTTCAGTATAACCAATTCCATGTTGTTGAGCGTATCCCTTGGCCACTAGTCGAGCCTTACACTTATCAACTTTACCATTTGAATTGAGCTTTGTTTTGAAAATCCATTTGACTCCAATCTTCTTAGCCCCACTCGACAAATCTGTCAGCTCCCAATTATTGTTCTTTGAAATTGATTCCATTTCCAGATCCATTGCAGCCCTCACAACCTTAGAAGCTTTCTCAAATGTGGTTGGATCACTGCATGCAAACATAGCTAAATTATTTCCACCTTCATCTCCAGACAGCCCCTCTCCACTTGTATAATCCTCCATCCAGGAAGGACTTCTTCTTGCTCTCCCTTCATCCGAACTCGGTGAACTATATGCTGGTGTTTCTGAAGATTCTGATGTTGGTGGAGATTTAAGTGTTTCCGCAGAAGATAAACTCTGCATACCTCTATTATCTGCAGCAGCTTCTTCCCCTCATTATTTTTCACTTTGAGCACACTTATCATCATCACCCCATTCGAGATTTTCCAAACTTGTATCTCCACTAGCCTCGACCTAATTTGATCTCTTATCTTCCTCAAAAATCACGTCACGACTGATCACAACTTTCTTGAAAATGGGATCGTATAACCTGTAGGCCTTCGACTCTTCACTTATCCCCAATAGAATATACTCAAAGCTTTTATTATCCAGCTTCGTTCTTTTACTATCAGGAATGTGAACATGTTCCAGGCATCCAAAGGCTCTAAAGTAATCAACTTTAGGCTTTTCCCTACTCCATGCCTCTTGGGGAGTCATATCTTTCACTGCAAGTGTTGGAGAACGATTAAGTACATGCACTGTCCAATTGACTACCTCGGGCCAAAAGGTCTTAGGAATATGCTTTTCAGAAAGCATGATGCATACCATATTCATCACCGTTCTATTCTTCCTCTCGGCAACTCCAATTCGATTTTCAGCTTTTCAGAAAGCATGCTTTTCAGAACAATGCCACAAGTGAGATTTTTCTTTTATGATAGTTTAAAAACATGTGGACATCTCAGACATCATTCTAGCAAGTAGAACAAACATTTGATTTGCGGTCATTTCAGTGTGTATGATCAACCCCCTTCTTGAATGATAAATTTTACATTTCCCATTCTGAATCATAATCGTAAGCCCTTTCTCTTGTAATTGTCTAATGCTTAACAAATTATTCTTCAATTCTGGAACATAGTAGACTTCAATTATGACCTGTGTGATGCCTCCAATTTACAACCTTACATTTCCCTTTCCCACGACTTCCATCATGGAGTTGTTCCCCAACTTGACTGTATACCTGTATTGCTCATCAAGATCCAAAAACCATTCTTTATTGCCGCTCATGTGGTTGTTGTACCCTGAGTCGAGGAACCATAATTCTTTTATTTTTGCACCGTGAGTTTCTACATACATCATTAGTAGCATTTCTTCTTCCTCATCAAGCTCAGCGTAGTTAGCTCTTTTCTCCTAGCTAGGGCATTCATATTGAAAATGCCCCAGTTTATGACATTTGTAGCATTCAACTAGAGCTTTGTTGAACATTTGTCTTCCTCGGCCTCGACCTCTTCCTCTAGAGCCTCCATAAGATCTTCCCGTTCCTGCAAACTTGTACTCTTCTTTTCCTTCAGCCTTCTCTACATTGGTGACTTTTAGAACATGTTCCTCTTCTTTGTGGCCTCGCATTCTCTGCTCATGCAAAAGCAGGCTGCTTTGCAGTTCATCTATGGTCATAGTTTCAAGATTATTGGACTCTTCGATTGAGCAAACAACATAATCGAATTTGGAGGTCATCGATATGAGAATTTTCTCAACAACAGTCGTTTGGTCCATCATTTCACCATGACCCTTCATATTGTTGACAATGGTGAGTATTCTAGCAAAGTATTCATCAACAATTTCGTCCTCTTTCATCTGTAAAATTTCATACTCCTTTCGAAGAGTCTGTAATTGGGCTCGCTTAACCTTGGTAGAACCTTGGTATTATTGCTTCATCGAGTCCCAAATTCCTTTCGCAGTCTCTTTATTCAGGATGGTCTCCATAATTGTTCTATCTATAGCTTGAAATAGATAATTTTT